AGCAGCATGCCCCTTATTGTGGAAGGGAGGGATTGGCCTATCAGTAATTAAATAGTCTTACATTTATCCTGTCTTGCACAAGGATTCCAGGTGACGGTTGTCAGTACTTCAGGGACACATGAATTACTCCAACCCATGAAAACAGGGTGGAGGACATTAGGGTTCTTTCTCTTATCTGTTCATCTGATTTTCTAAGCTCCTAAGTCCTTGATTTGGAGAATTTCTTCTAAACTCTTGTCATCTTGCCTTCTCTCCCTTCCTCTTCAGAGCGTTTTTGTCTTTTTATAACTTTATTTTTTCTCCACAAACTCTTGGGTCCTCTGCTTAGGCTGCTGGATTTGGTGGTGGGGAGGGGAGTGACCTCAGGATGTATTATATCTAAAAGCCAGCAAGACCTTTAACACTGTGAGGAGTGACCTGCCCACTCTTGTTGGCTTTTTCCCCATAGGACTGCCTAAGCTACCTACTTTGAATTGTATTACAACAGACTTCTAGAATGAACATCTTGGAAGGGGATGAGGGATTTGGAGTGGGGAAAAAGCCCAACTCATTATATTTCATTTTATATTGGCAATAGGTATTAGTTACATTTTCAAGGGCCAAGAAATAATACAATCCACACACACAAATAAAACAGCTCTGTGACAGCTTTAAGCTTCTCTTTAGAGGGAGGAGAATAAAGTTGGCTTATACCTCTGTACCACATTAGCAGTGATCCAGGTAAAATAGACTTCTCTGTGGTAGGTGGAGGTTGGTGGTAAATAAATAGTGGTGAAACAGGTAGGCCCAGTCTTAACTTTACTTCAGCTCCCACTTGCTGACACCCGGTCCATGGAAGTATATAATATAGAGAAGCCATAGGATGTGGTGTTGTCACCAGGAGCCCGAATCTCTCGATCCCTTCCATAGTGAGGACCTTGCGGCTGAGGGGCACTTGGCCACAGCACTGAACTGTCTCTAGGTATCTGTTTACTTATCTGCCCTTTAGTTTTCTCCTTTCTTTGTAGCCTTTATCTTTTCTTTTCATTCTCTTGATGGTCTCTTCTTACACTTACCCTGTCTCCACCTTCCTGCTTCTACCCACCGGGAAACATGAATTACGTTTCATTAATCTTTTAGAAGTGTAAGGTTGATTTGACCACAGGCTTCGTTGCCCATTGAACCAAATCTGCTAGGACCAACCGAGTGGAAGTCACATGTTAGCTTGTGTGGGTTGACTTTCTCCAGACACCCTTTAAAGGCGTCAGTACTTCTTGTGTTTTTGTTTAGTATCAGAAGAATTCAACTTCATAGACGATTAAAAAGAAACACTGAAAAACAGAATAATAAGAAAAACTTCCTTAATTACATCATGGTAACTCAGATATCTTTTTCCTTAATGCTTTATTTTTAAGATGCAGTTTCCGTGTGTGTGTGTTTGTGTGTGTGTGTGTGTGTGTGAGCTTTATTGTTATTGTTTTTAATTTAAATTCTTTATTGTTGAAAGTATAAACTTATGTCTCCTTTTCCCCCCCATTGACCTCTCCCCGCCTGCTCCTATCCCCCCCCCACCACCCCCCCACAGTCTACTTTTTTAAGCTGTGGATTTCCGGAAGCTTCTTCATAAACTGAATTGGCTGCAAAACAACCAGGTTCTGTCTGTTTCAAAGGAGATTGAAAGTACTTGGTCGAACAAGGCCAGTCTTTTAGATTGCTGTCCAGAAGCGAACTGACCCATTTTCTAAAACTGTCATCTGTTCACTGAGGTGTTTCTGTTAATGGTTGTCTTTGAGTGTGTGTGTGTGTGTGTGTGTGTGTGTGAGAGAGAGAGAGAGAGACAGAGAGACAGAGAGAGAGAGAGAGAGAGAGAGAGAGAGAGAGATTGGGAAAGGTTTTTTATGTGTAGTCTTTGTACATATTTTAATTCTATAGTATCTTGAAGTCATTTCTAGCCCAATGTCTATTCCAGCATGACTAAGAATTCTTTTTCCTCTCTGTATCTAGCTCCTTTTTTTTGGTATCTTTGCAGGATTTTCCCCCCCTTTTTACATTTTAATGACTGAAATTGCCTACTGCCCATAAGAATTACGCATCAAAAGAAACTTTTACATGGTTACCATTTTATATGTACATAGAAATTTAGCCCTGTACAGAAATTTCTATCATCTGATTGTCACTTTGGTTATTTGCAGAGTACCACAAACATTTATATTTAAATTTGAGTCCATTAGATTAACTTAAAGTAACTTCAGAAAGATTACACTTTAATGTAGAATTGAAAAGAAAAGTTACTGTGTATTAAAAAAGGCATGAAAACTGATCTATGAGATATAAGTTTGTATGAGGAACAAAAGTTTGTTATTCTAAAACTAGCTTATTGTCCCTATTTTTAATTTTATTGTTGACAGTATTACAGATGTATCTCATTTTCTCCCTTTCTGCTCCCCTCCATGTATCTAGCTTCTTAATTAAGAAAACTACCACTCAGATTGATATCAGTACTAATTGATAAAGTGCATTATACAATTTCGAGCACTGTACAGCTGTAAGATATTCTTAATGTTCTTTAAAAGTTTTACCATCCTGGACATTAAAAGATTTGCCTTTAAAAAGAAACCTGAAGGCAATCTGCAATGATAATCAACATTGTTTTGAAGATCTACATGAAGCATCTACATCATCTTAGGCTCTGTGAGAGCAAAGAAAAAAATCTATTCATAATATTTATTGAGAAATTTATATGTGACCTAATATTGCCCTCAATATTAGTCTGAGTTTTTTAGTCTTGACTTTTACATAGGACCAACAAACATGAAAATGACCTAAGAACACTTGGTGTGGTGTGGAGGGGCAAGGAGAAGGATCCATAATTAGTTTAGTGCAATCTATATACCCATGTTCTGAGGGCATGGGGATTGTGGCATCCTTGGAGCTGGGTGGAATTTCCTTGGGGAAATTATTCCAAAAATTCTTGTCTGTTTATTATTATCTTCGTGTGCCCACCTTTCCTGTGTTGATACCAATGTGTACATTTGAATGGAATTCTGGCATCAGGCATCTCTACAAGGCTTTTGGACAAACTTCCCAGTTACTTGCTGGGCCATAGCTTTTAAGTGAATCAAATACATATATTTAAAAGGAAACAACATTTATGAAGTTCTACTTTAAAATGCAGAAATTCATTAGCATCTGCTTCTGGAAAATTAAGAGTAAAAGCATAATATTTTGTCAGTCAATTTAAGTCTGGTTAGAATTAGATATTGAATTTTCTTGATTTTGAAACAATGGCATCATTTGCATAAAGGGGTGTTTAGATGTATTTAAGCTACAAAGTGAAATTCCAGGGTCTCTCCCATGTTGTACATCATTGTTAAAAATGTTATTGCTATGACTGAATGGGGTATTTTCTTTGGATTCTATGTGTCTCAAATAGCCAGCGAGTGACCTGCAATTTTCTGTCCCTGTCTTATTTATAAAAGGAATTCAATAATAATATGCTCACAGAATAGTAATGTGCAGATTAGAAGTTTATCTTTTGAAAATCTAAACTGCAAAATTATTTTCTTAATGATGAAAGATATTAATATCTTTGACCTCTCTGTGTCCTTGACTCCGTTAGCAGATGTGCACGGGCCTCAAACCGTTCTCCAACAGAGCAAGGATGATTGCTAAACACTAGAGGTGATTATGGTGAGCCAGTGGGATTATGAGTCTTTTTTCCTTTTCCTATTGAACATTTCCAATATTGTTATTATATTATAATTAAAAAGAATAGATTTTTTAAAGCACTGTAGTTCCATTCAAACCTCCAATTCCAGTGTTTATGGAAAGGTTCAGATAGATGCAGTCTTAAAAAAATAACAGTAATAAGGTGATTATAAGGAACCTTATAGTGTTGTATTCTCCTCTCAAATCCAACCATAAAATATTTTTCAACGAAAATGGCTACAAGTCTAGTTACGTAGTCAAAGATATTTTATTTATTATTGTATTAATTATTTTCCTTAATGTTTGACAAATTAAGAACCCTGGAATCATACTGTCAGGTCTGATCAAATAATTGAATAAATTCCCCCTCCCTTGGAAACTGACCTTTAGACCACTTCACCCAACATGCCCTTTGGCTTAGACCACATTCCACTTGCTAAGACCATTGTCTTTCCCTCAGGACCCACCCAGAGAATTTCTCTACCACTTTGGCCTTGTGCGTTCCTCCTTCAGCGACCCTAACACATACAATAACTGTTTTACCCTAAAATTTAATTCAAGTAAATTAAAAAACCTACCTAATGAACCAACAGCGTGGATAAAAACGTGGACCCTTATTCCATTTGAGAGGGAGCTGGATCGTCTGGTTCACTTGGCCCTTGGAAAACTGCCCCCCTGATTTGCCTGATGGGATGCTGCCTCCCAAGGAGCTCTGTGGAAGATTCTGTTATCTGTTCATTTTGCCAACGATACAGTCAGGCTCCAGCAAATACCTGGCCGTTCCTTTAGGTTTTGTGGGCAGTAGGGCAAGGTACACAGTAGGTGCTGCTCACATACGAGATCCTTTCCCTTCCTAAGGAAATCAAAGCCTGAACTATAAACTCTTAAATAGCTGACTTCTCTGGCAGTGCCCACACCTAATAAGTACTCAGAAAAAACGTTATTGAATGAATGAGTGTTCTTGTCTCTGTGTATCTGCAGCCTCTCTGTGCATATAATATGCAGCTTTTCCTTGGCCACTGGTATGCTCAGTATCCGTGGCCTTAAGACTCTTGATTTGACTCTGTAGACCTGCACCATCCAATATGGTAGCCACTAACTACATGTGGCTGTTTACCTTTAAATTTCATTAAAATTCCGTAGAATCGATTCCATTCTCCTGTGCACTAGCCACGTTTCCAGTGCCCGGTAGCCACCTGTGGCCATAGTGGTCATGGAGCATTGCCATCACGGCAAAAAGTCTCATTGGACACAGGACTGCTCTGTGCCTTTCTGGGCACCAGCTTATGGATCTCCTTTGTCTGTGTTCGCAGTGCAACTGCCTGCTTCAGGAAGGGAGGTCTACGGGAACAAGGAGAATCTTCAGGGACAGCCTCGCATTGTGACATGCCTGATCCCTCACTTCAGGCCCTGCAGCATGAACAAGGTAAGATGTTCTTTGAGGAATCATCACTTGTCTCTTCTTTGTGGTACCATGATGTTTTCTGGGTACATAGTGTCTTTCTATGTTGTGAGGAGATTACTTCTCTTGCCCAAAGCATTCCAGAGATTGGAGAGTGTGTGACCTGAGAAAGCAATGCTTACAGTCCAGGGTCATAGCAGCTGGTGGCTACTCTATGGTGGTACAGTCCTCTGGAGGTGTCACTTGTGTTTGCCTGTGGCCTCTAAGTTGCAAAATATTGGTTATTAGTATTACTGTCTTGACATGAATATTGGAAGATTAAGACTCTGGAATGAAACTACCTGTGTTTAAAGATCAGCTCTTTCAGATGCTAGCTTCAGTGACCTTGGACAAGTGTTATGGTTCTCTGTGCCTCAGTTTCCCCATTTGCAAAATATTGCTGATAATGGCTCCTACCTCCCTGTCGTATGTACGAAATGAGTTCATATGTGCACCAGTGCTTAATATATGTGCCTGTCCACATTGCAAGCATTTGATTAAATATTTGCTGGGTGTTTTTTTTTTATACTGGGGACACTGTTATCCCTTAGTCATTGTTGCTAAAGAGTCTTCGGTGCCTCTGCAACATTTCCATTAATTCCCTGATTGGTTCGGCAAGCAGTGATTGAGTACCAGGTGGGCACTCTGGAGGCGAACGCTGAATGGGGCCTTCAGCAGGTGACAGATCATTTGGGGGCAGAGTGGCTGGTGTTCTAATGCAGCATGTACCAGAAGCTCTGGAGGTGCAGACGAAGGCACATCTGATTCTTGGGGACCTGGAAAGGGCAGAATAGAGGAGGTGACATTGTGAATTGGATCCTGGATGATAAATGGTCATTTCTTTGGACTTAGAAGTAGGGCAGGTAAAGGAAACAACCTGTTTAGGGTCAGAAGCATATGAGAAAGTCTGGCATGTTTAGAGAACAACAAAGAGGGCAGAACAACTGGGGCAGAATGTCTCAGCCTCAACACTGCGGACATTAGGACCAGGTAATTCTCCGTGTCTGAGAGGCTGTGTTCTGCACAGGAGTACGTTTAGTAGCATCCCCCTCTCCTTACGTCAGTTGTGATAACCAAAAGTGTCCCCCTTGCGGGGACAAAAACAGCCCTGGCTCAGAACGACCGCACTGGTGGGAGATGGCAGATAGGAGCTGGAGAAGGAGGGAGGGGTTCCGTTCTGAGAGCGAGTGAAGAATTTAAATCAGGGAGAGACATTTCGGAGGCCTGCAGAAGAGCTACCTTATCACCTTATCTCTGGGTTGTGAGAGTTGGACAGCACTTTTACATGATTTGCTCTTACAAAGGTATTATGGAATCCCTAGGCTATTAGAAAGCGTATTTACCGTATTGAGATTCTTTTACTAAGTACCCCTTTCCAGGGGAAATTTTTCTCATAGCCATTTGTTTGGCCTACTCGGTGTCTGCTGCTTTACCCCATCTGAAGAGACCAGGAAAAAATAAGCAATTATTTTTTGAGAGGTTTCCATTTAACTGAGCCAAGCCAAAGAGAAGGAACCTTGTGCGCGCACACACACCAGCTTAAATACTTACTTTAAGCAGTCTTTGAGAAGTGAGTTGTTGGAATACTGGAAGATCATGATTGGAGGTTGCGAATGAGAGGAGTTTCATCATTGTGGCCATTGCAAACCACGACTTCTGCTAGAGTTTGGTGTACTGAGAAACTAAGACAACTCTTGGGAAGGCTCTGATTAGCAAGCAGGATGTAGTATGACAGCCCTGCCCTACATTTCTCCAGGGCAACTCAAGACTTGATGTCATGGTTTGGCTCTTGCCACACAGCTGGGAACCAGACTCCTTAGCCATTTCAAGTGTCTCAGTAGGTGTGTCTGTGGCTTGGGAAGTTATGTTCTGCCCGAGTGGCCCAGCGAGTACGTTATTTTATATTACAGTATTTTAACTTAAAGTGGTGATTAAGCATGATGTGTAACCATCACAGGTCAGCATTTTTCCTTATGGTTTTCTTGGCATTCAACAAAGACTAGGGAAGGAAACAGATCTTCTTGGCACAAATAAAACTAGAGAATCATCTCATAAATTAGAGTATGTAAGTTAGAATGTAGGAAATATTTTTGTGGGAATGATTGATTTTCTAGGGAGATTTGTTCCTAGAAAGTTAGAGACCTTCGAATTGTGCACTTTCCACTTCCCTGGAGGTACACTGTAATAACTCTCCTTCCTTCCCAAGCCCCAGCTAGCTGATGGGACACTTCAGTTTGGGAGGTGTCGGGATGGGGGGTGGTCGCAGCGTTCTGGGGTTCAGTGTGATTCCTGTGAAAGTGCCAGGGCACCTTGGATCCCAGGCATTGACAGCTCCCTTTGGAGTCAATCAGAGACGACACCTCTAAAAAACACAGGCATGGCTCCATGGCACAAGAGGTTGGCAGTTTGACTCCTTTAAAAGGGCTAACCTGACAGTCAGTGAACTGCTGCCCTTGAACTTCTGTCTTTGCCAGGGTGTGAGAACACACCTGGAAGGGCTGCAGCTTCGGCCCTCAGACACCGGCATGCTGGTGCCTGTGTGCTGGCAGAGAACAGAGGGAGGGCATCCCCTGGGCGCAGTGCTTCTCAGGAATCTTGTGTCATTCCCTAAGGCCAGTGTGCACGGGGCATGTCAGTTTGATTTCCAGCACATAAGGTTTATACAGAGTAGATGCCTTCCTAGTTATTCACCTTTTTAATATTGTAAACAGACTTAAAGGGTTGTACAGTATGGGCTTTGGGTTCTAGTCTTACATGTGAAAGAAATTGTGGTACACAAATTTTTCCTGGGTGCTCATTCTCCCTGGCCCTTATACAGACTTGAAGACCATCTTTCCAACTTCCATACTCGCCTTAGATCTTTTTTCAGGAGCTGACTTTCCAATCTTCATATTGATCAAAAACTTTCTCATTAGGATGTAACTTTAAATTTTGTCAAAAGTCTTCATCTTTCTACTTTCTTGGTCATTCCCTTGTTAATATGTATAAATATATTACATTACACATGTAATATATTGTGAGTTTTTGCTAGTAAGAAGGATTGTTTGGGGTCTGTTTGTTATTATGCTGTAAAGAGAGGATTTTAGTGTATTATTTAAAAAATCATGGCCAACTGGGAGGCAGGTTGGACAAGATGGGGTTTGGGAGAGGCAAATTGGGCAGGATGAGGTGCATTCGTTACATACCACGATGTAAGCTCACAAACCCACACAAACAGGGGCCGAGTTCCACTCTTGGAAAATCTCTCTTCCTAACAGCAACCTTGGAAGTAGGATCCTAAACTCTTTCCCTTGTGGTCCTCGTTTCCATGAAGGCATATCACATGGCGTTCTCTGCCTTGAATTTATGAGGACACTTCATCTGATTGAAAAATAATTGATTTTTCTGTTATTACACAGAATGCTCCTCTTCCCCTTCCCACAGTGAAAATGAATCTTCCTGAAAACTGTTTCTTCCTTGTTATGTTCAAATAAAGCCAGATCTGATTGTTATTGCTTTGGACAAATGCCATAGCATGAAGTGGAGTAGAGTGGTGTCTCTTATTTCTCTTGATGGGTGGATGCCACTGTTTCTGCTTAAAATCTGCCCAACAGAATTTTCTTCTCTGAATAGTTTCCAGTATTCGGCACCATATCCTACTGTGCCAGGTTTGAGGCACTTTCACCTTTACATTCAGATCAATATCTCTACAGTCAACTAAAAAGTAAAACTGAAATTTACTGACTGCCTCCATTTGGAGGTTTTGTGTGTGTGTGCGTGTGTGTGTGTGTGTGTGTGTGTGTGTGTGTGTTTTAAAACTTTGCACCTCCTTAATGAAAAGCAGTGAAGCCCAGAACTCATTACCCCAGCTCTCCTGCCCAACACATAGCCTGCACACAACTCTACTTGACTAAATATTAGCTCCTCCAACACATATCTATCGAATGCATGCTATGTACCATGTGAACAAAACAAAGGTCTTTGCCATTGGAAGCTTCTGTTCTGGCCAGGTGAGAAGAGTCATCAAATCCAAGAGGTTTAATATGAAAACATAAACCTTATGTTAACTCCCCCCCACCCCCAATTTTAAACTTCTTTCACTGAAAGAGCTGGTTAATGAAGCTACTGGATGCAGTATAAGTAATTGGTGAAGAATAAACATATAAGATCTCTCTCTTCCTCTTCCCAGGATACTCTTAGTAGTTTTACCAAATGACCAGTCTGCATTTAGTGAGGCTGTACTGTTGTTTTTCTAAACGCCACAGCCAAATCCCCCTTGTGGCAGACTTTGAAGAAATATCACACTCCAAAAACTATGACAGGAAAGAAAATACAATAAGTATTAAATGATCTTGGAGTAAAGAAGACCTTGTTAATTTCTGGTGGCAAAAATTATAAATGAAGAAAATGTATGTAAAACCTGAAAATTCCTTTTCATGAAAAGACATTCTGAACTATCCTCAAAGACAAAAAAAGACAAAACCAGGACAGTATTTACCACATATAAGACAGAGAGTTAACTGAGCTAATTTAGTAAGAGTTCTTACAATTAATAAGATAAAGATTATTATTCTAACAGAAAATAGGCAAAGAACAGAAAGATAAAACCAATAAAAAGGAAGAAATATGATCAGTAAATAACATGTAAGGAAATGTACAACCTTGACAGTTATCAAAGAAATGCAAATTAAAATGATGAGATGGTTTTCCCTACCTATACAATTGAGGATTTGTAAAATGTACTCAGTGAAGGTAAGCATGGGAATATTAGGCTCTCTCATGCACAGTGAAAGAACATGTTTCACCTTTTGATTCAGAAATTATATTTCTAGAACAGTTACTCAAATGAAATGTCAAGGAATGTATAAAAAATTTAGCTAAGACATTCATCACATATTGCTATAATAGTAATTTTTCAAAGGTAATAACCATGGTACAGCCATACAATAAAAATACCAAGAAGGGATGAAGGGATATTTAATGACATAAAAAGATGTTCTAAATAC